CTTCAAGGATTTTTGCACTCCTGGGAATTCCCCAAAACTCATACCTGTTAAAAAGTGAATCTATTACTTCATCTTAGGAAATGAAGCATTGGGGGAGTCACTTCCCTACAGTAAACAGCAGGGGATGAAATGATCCTGAGACTCAGCCTGGAATTCTCTAGAGTGACTGACACAGACCCAGTGCAGAACTCCTCTAGAGTGACAAAATGCTGCACAGCTCGAGGCTTTTTCACAGGGACTGACCCAGCCACAGCCCAGGATTTACCTAAGAGTGACCAACACAACCCTGTGACAAAACTTCTCTGAGAATGTGACAAAGATGCAATCCAGAATTCGCCAGCATTGTGGACTGAGACAAGCACAGCCCAGAGCATCTTTGGAATGACTGATGCCACTGACACAGCCCGGGGCTTCTCTGGAATGACTTGCAACAGACAAAGCCATAATTTAGGACTCTCCTGGAGTCACTCACTCAGAAATAGCCTAGGGCTGCTCTAGAGTGACTGATACAGACCAGAGCTTCTCTGAAATTTATACAGACAGTTGTCACTGGCAGGAGGTGAGTAAAGGCTGAGAAGATGGGGCACAGACTTGCAACCTCTTGTGTATTGTATAGAGGCTTACCACAAAAAATGTGTCTTCTTGGACACATTTCTCAAAGACAGGAAAAGAGAGCATGGGCCCTAAAAATAACTGTGTTTTTTTAAAAACCCAACCAGTATCTGAAATTATTTAAGGTCACTGATAGAAAAAGTAGATGGTTTTTCCCAGAAAGTTAAGATTAAAAAATTGATGTCAATCAATTTTAGGATATGGTTTATTGATGTGTCTCAGTGTCTTGACTCTCTCCCAGAAAACAGTTTGATTAAATATTTTACGGGAGTGGATACCTGAGACACACTGAGTGATATAAAGCTATTGTATTAGAGTAAAGCTTTTAAAATATTTTCTCAGAACATAGCAAAATATTTAAACAAAAGAAATATACCTTGGAAGACAAAACCCAATATACCACTTATTTAAAAAAACACTTAGAGTTCTGACTTTGACTATAGGCTCAGTTAGTGATCCAACAGTGTCATCAAAGTACTATAAAGATAATTAAACCTTAGGCTGCATTAAACACTGAGCATTGGAGTTAGCACTTTAGGTGCAAAAGATACAGGATGAACACACAGATTTGTCCTCATGATGTTAACGATTAAGATAGCATAAATAGATGCACAGGCACATAATTATAAAAGTACTCTAACAGAGCTGTACACAAAGTGTTATGAGACAGCCAAAAAAACCATCCTTCTTTCTGCCAAGGGAGGGCAGGAAACTTCAAAAAGAAAGTGATGTTTTAGCCAATTCTTGCAAGATGAGCAGAAAGTTATACTTTTTTAAGCTCCTACCTATGAGTAAGAACATGTGATATTTGTCTTTCTGTGCCTGGCTTATTTTACTTAACATAATGACAATCCCAACACAAAGAAACGGTAAATGCTTGAGGTGATGGATATCCCAATCACCCTAATTTTATCATTATACATTGTATATACATGTATCAAAATATCCTATGTACCCCCAAAATATGTACTGTACATATGTACTATACTATTACATATCAATTAAAAATAAAGAGAGTGTGGGTAAATAATTTGAAGTAAAGCAAATAAGAATAACCCAAAACCTAAAAAAAAGTTGTACATAGTTTCAGGGAAAGGATTCCAACAAAAGAGCGCCACATGCACAAACACAATGAGTGCTGAGAGACTGTGATGTGTGTAGGGAACACAAAGTATTTTTGTATGACTGGAAAAACAAGCAGAGATCATAGGAAAATACCTCTTTGAAGAATTTACTTTGTCCCAGAGGCCACATGGAGTAATTGAAAGACATTAAGCAGGTAAGTGACTTAACCAGAGTTGCTGACAGATCACATACAAGCCACGGATGGTTTGAAGAGAATGAACTGGAAGCAGGTTTCTACCATACTCCAGGCCAGAGAAATCCAGAACCTAAATTCAGTGGTGGTGGAACTGGAGAGGTGACACTGAATTAGTGTTTAAGAATAAAAATAATCAAGGCCTGGCGCGGTGGCTCATGCCTGTAATCCCAGCACTTTGGGAGGCCAAGGTGGGTGGATCACGAGGTCAAGAGATCGAGACCAACCTGGTCAACATGGTGAAACCCCATCTCTACTAAAAATACAAAAAATTAGCTGGGCATGGTGGCATGTGCCTGTAATCCCAGCTACTCAGGAGGCTGAGGTGGGAGAATTGCCTGAACCCAGGAGGTGGAGGTTGTGGTGAGCCGAGATTGCGCCATTGCACTCCAGCCTGGGTAACAAGAGTGAAACTCCATCTCAAAAAAAAAAAAAGAGTAAAAGTAATCAAATTTGGGGGATGAATTAAAGGATTATATCCCAGTTTGCAGTTCCTGGCTTGTACTTTGGGGTAGTGCCATTTACTGAAATAGGGGAAGTACAAAGAGGGATTTTGAGATGGAGGAAGCAGACAAGTACATTTATATCTCTTTTTATTAAGTCCAAGTTAATTATATGATGCTATGTAATATTCTTTTGTGTTTTTATCAAAATTCTTTATGAATGGGGCTCATGGTACCTACTTTGTGTAGGTGTAGATGCTTCCTTGATTACCACATTTTCTTCATTATCTATTAATTCATTCAATAACAATTTACCTGGTATCTACCTTTCTTGGCATTAGGGTAAAAAATTGAATAACACAAGAGTGAAACTCCGTCTCAAAAAAAAAAATAATTGAATAACAATTTCTATTCCAAGGATCATGTCATCTAGAGTATGAGACAGATACATTCATTAATGATTATTCTAAAATAAGAACTATGAAAGTGGTATTCTAGCTCTCCAATGTTACTAATGTATTAGGATTTCTGACTCTCTTTAGAAATTGTGTTGCTTTGCTTTTACTACCACCCTGTACTGAACACTGGCTTATCCTCACCTGTGGGCTCAGATTTATTCCCATTCTGAAAAAGTGAGTGCAAGTGTCTCTTGATGGCCAAATCCCTGACATAGACACAGACCATCCAGGATGCAAAAACTTGCTGAAATAATTACTCCACTTCTTTGGGTCTCAGATTCCTTCACTGTAAAATGGGTATAATACTCTCTGTATCTTCAGGTGTTGTGAGAATTAAATAAGATAATACATGCAAAACACTTAGAATGGTGTGTGGAGCTTATTTGATGCTTCATAAATGTTCATTCTTAGTATGAAAGTAGATAAGATACCAAGGATGTTTTCACAAAAGAAGTGATTCCCTGGCTGGGCGCAGTGGCTCACGCCTGTGATCCCAGCACTTTGGGAGGCTGAGGCAGGCAGATCACGAGGTCAATATATGGAGACCATCCTGGCCAACATGGTGAAACCCCATCTCTACTAAAAATTAGCTGGGCATGGTAGCGTGTGCCTGTAGTCCCAGCTACTCAGGAGGCCGAGGCAGGAGAGTTGCTTTAACCCAGGGGGTGGAGATTGCGGTGAGCCAAGGTTGTGCTACTGCACTCCAGCCTGGGGCCTGGCGACAGAGCATGAGTCTGTCTCAAAAAAAAAAAAAAGTGATTTCCTGGTTGAATATTTTTTAATGAAGATGAATCAGCAAAAAATTTAGCATTTTCTCATTTTTTTCTCTTTACCTCCCTCCTTCCTTCCCACTCTAAATTCACCTCTTGCCCCTGCTCACAACTTTACTTAAATATCATCTTATCAGTGAAGATTTCCCCGACACTTTCCACCCCAAGTGTTTATCTCCTTCTCCACTACTTTATTTCTTCTTCATTGCTCTTATATACTATACTTTCTACTAACATAATTTGTTTATAACCTGTCTTCCTATGATAAGATGAGTTTTATAAGGGCAGAGATTTTTGCTTGTTTTATTTACAAATATATTATCTTCAGTATCTAAAACAGAGCATGGCATACAAAATTATCTTCTGATAATCAATATTTATTGAATAAATTATTATTTTATCTTAGAGATTGAATAGAGGGCCTATAGTGAATTTTGGCAATGAGTTGGATAAGAAAATTTTAGAAGATAGGCCTAGCATTATATCAATAATTATAATGGTCAACATTTATGGAGTATGTACAGGATAGCAGACAGCATGCTAAGTGCTTCAGACTATTCCTCTATGCGTTTATAGTCATCACAAGGAATTTCAGGGTCCCAATTTCGAAGCTTAGTTATTAATGCAATGATAAAATCTTTTGTTTCCTTTTCATAGGATTTCATATTATTGGTCACACTTGCATATTGAAGTTGGATTTTATTAACATGTAAAATGTGAGCTTCAAGTTTCTTGAGAGTCAAGACACAAGTGAACCAAGAGAGCTAATGAAAAAATTTATGCTTAAGCCATCTAGATTCTGTCCATGGTTCTGATGCTATCTTGACACATATAACTACTTGGAAAATACTCATCCCTGGGATCAACATAAGCCACACTGCCTATGTTGTGTGTCTTCTGTTTACACTGCAATTTTCAGAGTGTAGAAACTGAGATTCTTAAAATATAGTGAAACCTTCCTGAGTATGGGCTTCTTGAGATTGAGACCCATTTGGATCTCCTACTCAGGAGTCATTTGGTAATTGTTGAATCAATTTCTTTGATTTTCTCCTTCCTACATTTTTGTTTTGCAAAACATATACCTGCCTGACTTCACCGCTTTTCATTATGTGTCAAGACCTCTCTCTTCATAAAGGCTTGGTCTGACTTTCTTAGCACCATTATTGAGGAGAGATAAGTTAGGGGCATGAACGTAAAGCTGTGATTTTGGCCATTCTCTAGCAAGAACAGAAAAATAAGGACATGTATAGATATATATGGTATGCTAATTCAGTCTGAAAAAGTAGAATTCTCTCCCCAAAAATGAAAGTCTAATGGTAAAATTTCCTTTATTACATTTTGGAAAGTATAGATGTTTGATACTCAACAACTATAACAAGGAAAGTAAAGAATGAGGCCACAGGAAGTCCCTTTTATAAGAGTATAATAGAGGTATAAATAACATATGAGATTTCTTCTGCCTTCCTAGATTTTGAATGCCCAGTGAAGTCCTGGGCAGAAGAATGATGTGGGAAAACTGGACAATTGTCAGTGAATTTGTTCTTGTGAGCTTTTCAGCCCTATCCACTGAGCTTCAGGCTCTACTGTTTCTCCTTTTCTTGACCATTTACCTGGTTACATTAATGGGCAATGTCCTCATCATCCTGGTCACTACAGCTGACTCTGCACTACAAAGTCCTATGTACTTCTTCCTCAGAAACTTGTCCTTCCTGGAGATAGGTTTCAACTTGGTCATTGTGCCCAAGATGCTGGGGACCCTGATCATTCAAGACACAACCATCTCCTTCCTTGGATGTGCCACTCAGATGTATTTCTTCTTCTTTTTTGGGGCTGCTGAGTGCTGCCTCCTGGCCACCATGGCATATGATCGCTATGTGGCTATCTGTGACCCCTTGCACTACCCAGTTGTCATGGGCCACAGATCCTGTGCCCAGCTAGCAGCTGCTTCTTGGTTCTCAGGGTTTCCAGTGGCCACTGTGCAAACCATATGGATTTTCAGTTTCCCTTTTTGTGGCCCCAATAGGGTGAACCACTTCTTCTGTGACAGCCCTCCTGTCATTGCACTGGTCTGTGCTGACACCTCTCTGTTTGAACTGGAGGCTCTGACAGCCACTGTCCTATTCATTCTCTTTCCTTTCTTGCTTATCCTGGGATCCTATGTCCGCATCCTCTCTACCATCTTCAGGGTGCCCTCAGCTGAGGGGAAACACAAGGCCTTCTCCACCTGTTCCTCCCACCTCCTGGTTGTCTCTCTCTTCTACAGCACTGCCATCCTCATGTATTTCCGACCCCGATCTAGCGCCTCTCCCGAGAGCAAGAAGCTGCTGTCACTCTCTTATACAGTGGTGACTCCCATGTTGAACCCCATCATCTACAGCTTAAGGAATAATGAAGTGAAGGCTGCACTGAAGCGGGTTATCCACAGGACCCTGGGTTCTCAGAAACTATGATTGACTTAGATGGAAACTGAAGGCGTAAAATGTAAGCACACAAAAAAATGAATTCCTCAAGTGGGTTTGGTGTCTCCACTCTTTTTAGGTGACACGGTATGCCTATTGATTTTTTTTAACTTTCTACTAAGACCTATTTATGAAAGAAAGAACATGATGAATGAAAGAAAGCATTGTCATAGTCTCAATATTCTATGGGACAGTGGTACCAGTGTCTCTAGAGATGCTTCTAGTTTATATAAATTAGGATCCTCTGAAGATTGATAATTATAATCCACCATTTAAAAAAATTTGTTTCAACTTTTCTCACACTCCCTCATTCATTTCATTTTATAATTTTCTGCTTTACTTTCTTCTATTTGTCTAAAACCTACCTGTGTATTTCTAGGCTATTTTTGTTTACAAGGCAACTAAAATAACAATAATAATGCTAATAAATAGAAAAGTTTTGTTTTATTCTTATACTCATTTATTCAACAAATTTTGAGTTTGAACTCAACATTTTAACAAATTTATATTCAGCACTCAGCATATGTCACACTTGGTTTAGGCCCTGAAGACACATTGGTAAATAAAACAGATAATTTTTTTACCCCATAGAATTTACAATCTAGTGAGAAAAAGAGATGATAAAAAGAGACAAAAATCCTCCAGTGGTTTATAAAGTATACATGTTTAGAGGACTAGCAATTGAAGAGCAGACTGACTCTGTGTCTGCTCACAGAGTCAGTTTGCGCTTCTCTGACTCATAGAGTCAGTCTATGCCTCATCTGGAGAAAGGCTGTTTCATAGTGACAACTGCCTAAATCTCACATTATCCACCTGGTGTACGAGAACTGCTTGACATAAAAGGTATAAAGAACTCCCAGTCAAGTGTAAGTAGAGAAATTATGGGGAACTGCCATAAAGAACCAAAGATTCTTCGCTCATGAGATTTTTTTCTGTAATCTTATTGTGATTGGATGGAATCAATTGTCTTTTTCAAGCTTGTGTATCTTTCAACCAACATAGTAGCCTCTCTGTATGATTTTGTCTAGTGAACATGGTCCAACTCTGGACTCAGCAAACAGCAGCCTTTGGTATGGGCAACATAACTGTGTGTAAACATACTCATAGCAATTCATTAATAATTAAGGGTGAATTATATTTACTACACAGGCATGTCTGCCTTACCAACTCTATAAACAACCTATGAATGTGTGCCATAGAAGTACCAGGAGCAGTTTCCTTTCCTGCCAGAAGTGTCCTTTAGCTCTCTTGACACAAGAGCTTCTGAAAGATAGCTCATTCTGTAAAATGACTGTAAGAATTTTCAAAAGAAAAGGCAGATCATGGGGTTCTATTTGCATGAAGGCAATCACACAATCAAACAGATTGACACCATTAAAAATTGATAGTCTCCAATTTCGGTCAAACTTTAATCACTTCTTCACATTCCTTTTGCTTGACCTTGGTGAATAAAGTAAACAGCACCCCTTCTCCGCAAGGATATCTATATTCTAGTCCCTGGAACCTGTGAAAGTGGTACCTTCCATGGTAAAAGGGCTGCAGATGTGATTGATTTAAGGATTCTAATATAGGGAGACTATCTTGAGTTATCTTGGTGGACCCAATCTAATCACTAGGGTCCTTCTAAGAGGGAGGCAAGATGATAAGAAGAAGGGACAGAAAAATGTAAGTATGGAAGCACAGGTTAGAGAAGACAGAAGGTGATACATTACGGATTTTGAAATTAGAAGACAGGGCCATGAGCCAAAAAATATAGGCAGCCTCCAGAAGCTGAAAAAGTCAAGGGGACAAAATGTCCCTCTAGAGACTTCAGAAAATAATGCAGGTCTTGCTGACACCTTAATTATAGTGCACTGGAAGTGATTCTGGACTTTTAAACTCTAGAATTCTCAGATAACAAATCCATGTGGTTTTAAGCTACTAGGTTTGTGATAATTTGTTACAGCAGCAATAAGAAAATAATGCAGTTGGTTATACCATATCCTTTTCAACTAATGCCCAAGTTTTTGCTATTTTCCCCTGTACCTTTCTTCCTTCTTTCAAGAAAACAACTTCTACTTCATCAGGAAAATTGGGGTGATCAGATTTAAATGAATTTTACTTATGCCCTTCCATCTAAAAATGTGCCTGTCTATGCCCACATCTATGCCTATTTCTCTTAATCTGAGAAATACTTGATTTCATTGCCTCTTGTCTATGGCCCAAGCTCCCTGTAGTATCTTGTCTCTTTCACCTGTAACTTCAACCTCTTCCTCTCTTTTGCCTCAAGCTATAAACATGCCCTGATCCTTAAAACAAAAATGAATTACAGTCTTGATCATGTTTCTCTTGTCTTGCTCATTTATTGTCTGACTTTTGTACCATCTTTATTGAAATAACTTACATATTATAAAACTCAGCTATTTAAAGCTTATAATTCAATTTTTTTAGCATATTCACAATGTTGTGCAACCATCACCACAATCTAAGGTTCCAACAAATTTATCATCCCTAAAAAAAGCCCATACCCATTAGCATCAGACAACTTCCTGGGGAAAAAAGTTTATAATTTCTATTTTATTTTCATTACATTTACTACTTATTCACTGAAATCTAGTTTCTGCTCCTATCACTTTATGGATATACATCTTTCAAAATCATTAATGGCCTCTATATTAACATGCCCAATGTTTAATCTTAATTTCACTATTCTCTATTACAAATCTTACATTGCTCATGCATTTCTTTTGAATATTTCTATATCTTTTATTTCCCAAATACCACTGTGTTCTGGTTTTCTTTTTGCATCTTTGAACACTCATTCTCAATATTCAAGGAGTTTTCTCACAAACACTTAACCATTGCAAATACCGTGTTCCCCAAAGTTCCAATAATAACCTTGGTGCTTTTTTTTCCACTCTGTTACTTTTAAAAAAAAATAGCTTTATTGGCAGCAACAGGGCCCACACCACATCAGCAAGGCGGAGCCTCGGCAGGCAAATAGGGACTAGACTGCCTCCTAGCTGGGCAGGATAGTGCCACGGACACTCAGAAAGAAAGCCCCAACCCACCCGAGACAGAGCATCTGAGGAAAAAAAGGGGATCTAAGAGTTGTGCTGCAGCAGAATTAAACGCACCTGCCTAACAGCCCTGAATGAATAATGAAGCTCACAGCTCAGCACTTGAGCTCCTATAAAGTACAGTCTGTCTCCTCATGCAGCTCCCTGACCCGTGTATATCCAGAGTCACCTCAAAAAGGACTGATCAGACTGACATTAGGTGGGCACCATTCTGGGACAAAGGTAGCAGAAGAAGAAACTGGTAGCATTCCTCACCATTCTGTAGCTGCTACAGGTGTACCCCAGACAAGCAGGGCCTGGAGTGGACCTCAGCAGTTGTACAGCCGAGGGGCTAGACTGGTAGAAGGAAAACCAAGTAACAGAAAGACCTCATCATCAACAATCTGGGCATCCACTCAGAGACCCAATCGAAAAGTCAGCAACTACTCAGACGACAGGCGGATAAATCCACAAAGATGGGAAGAAACCAGCGCAAAAAGGAGGAAAACACCTGAAACCAGCACACCTCGCTTCCTACAAAGGACCAAAACTCCTCACCAGCAAGGGAACAAAGCTGGATGGAGAATGACTGTGACGAAATGACAGAATTAGACTTCAGAAGGTGGGTAATGAGAAACTTCTGTGAGCTAAAAGAACATGCTCTAAATCAATGCAAAGAAACTAAGAACCTTGAAAAAAGATTTGAGGAAATGATAACAAGAAAGGATAACTTAGAGAGGAATATGAATGAATGAAAGGAGCTGAAAAACACAATACGAGAACTTCGCGAAGCATGCACAAGTTTCAACAGCAAAATTGACAAAGCACAAGAAAGGATATCAGAAGTCAAAGATCAACTCAATGAAATAAAACGAGAAACCAAGATCAGAGAAAAAAGTGCAAAAAGGAATGAACAAAGTCTCCAAGAAATGTGGAACTATGTGAAGAGACCTAACCTACATTTGATAGGTGTACCAGAAGGGGACAAAGAGAATGAATCCAAGCTGGAAAATACTCTTCAGGATATTATCCAGGAAAATTTCCCCCACCTAGCAAGACAGGCCAACTCTCAAATGCAGGAAATACAGAGAACACCACAAAGATATTCCGCAAGAAGAGCAACCACAAGGCACATAATCGTCAGATTCAACAAGGTTGAAATAAAGGAGAAAATACTAAGGGCAGCCAGAGAGAAAGGTCGGGTCACCCACAAAGGAAAGGCCATCAGACTCACAGCAGATCTCTCGGCAGAAACTCTACAAGCCAGAAGAGAGTGGGGGCCAATATTCAACATCCTTAAAGAAAAGAACTTTCAACCCAGAATTTCATATCCAGCCAAACTGAGCTTCAGAAGTGAAGGAAAAATAAAATCCTTTGTGAACAAGCAAGTATTCAGAGATTTTGTCACCACCAGGCCTGCTTTACAAGAGCTCCTGAAAGAGGCACTACACATAGAAAGGAACAACCAGTACCAGCCATTCCAAAATCACACTAAATGCTAAAGAGCATAAACATAATGAAGAATCTACAACGACTAACGGGCAAAACAGCCAGCTAGCATCAAAATGGCAGTATCAAATTCACACATAACATTATTAACCATAAATGTAAATGGACTAAATGCACCAATCAAAAGACACAGACTGGCAAATTGGATAAAAAAACAAAACCCATCAGTGTGCTGTATCCAGGAAACCCATCTCACATGCAAGGATACACAAAGGCTCAAAATAAAGGGATGGAGGAAGATTTACCAAGCAAATGGACAGCAAAAAAAAAAAAGCAGAAGTTGCAATTCTCATCTCTGATAAAATAGACTTTAAAGCAACAAAGATCAAAAGAGACAAAGAAGGTCATTACATAATGGTAAAAGGATCGATACAACAAGAAGAGCTAACGATCCTAAACATATATGGACCCAATACAGGAGCACCCAGATACATAAGGCAAGTTCTTAATGACTTACAAAGAGACTTAGACTCCCACACAATAATAGTGGGAGACTTTAACACTCCACTGTCAATATTAGACAGATCAACTAGATAGAAAATTAAAAAAGATATCCAGGGCTTGAACTCAGACCTGGAACAAGCAAACCTGATAGACATTTACAGAACTCTTCATCCCAAATCAACAGAATATACATTCTTCTCAGCACCAAATCACACCTACTCTAAAACTGACCACATAATTGGAAGTAAAGCACTCCTGAGCAAATGCAAAATAAACAGTCTCTCAGACCATAGTGCAATCAACTTAGAACTCAGAATTCAGAAACCAACTCAGAACTGCACAGCTTCATGAAAACTGAACAACTTGAATGTTGACTGGATAAACAATGAAATGAAGACAGAAATAAAGAAGTTCTTTGAGCCAATGAGAACGAAGACACAACATGCCAGAATCTCTGGGACACATTGAAAGCAGTCTCTAGAGGAAAATATATAGCAATAAGTGCCCATATGAGGAGAATGGAGAGATCCAAAATTGACACCCTATCGTCAAAATGGAAAGAGCTAGAGGAGCAAGATAAAAAAGACTCAAAACCTAGCAGAAGACAAGAAATAACTAAGATCGAGCAGAAATGAAGGAGATAGAGACACGAAAAACCCTTCAAAAAATCAATAAATCCAAGAGCTGGTTTTTTGAAAAGATCAACAAAATAGACAAACCACTAGCCATATTGATTAAAAAGAAAAGAGAGAACAACCAAATAGATGCAATAAAAAATGATAACGGGGAAATCACCACAGATTCCACAGAAATTCAAACCATCATCAGAGAATATTACAAACAACTCTATGCACATAAACTAGTAAACCTGGAAGAAATGGATAAATTCCTGGACTCCTGTGTCCTCCCAAGCCTAAACCAGGAGGAAGCTGAAACTATGAATAGACCAATAACAAGGTCTGAAGTCGAGGCAGCAATTAAGAGCCTACCACACAAAAAAAGCCCAGGTCCAGATGGGTTCACAGCCAAATTCTACCAGACACAGAAAGAGGAGCTGGTACCATTCCTTCTGAAACTATTCCAAATAATCCAAAAAGAGGGAATTTTTCCTAAATCATTTTATGAGACCAATATCATCCTGATACCAAAACCCGGCAGAGACCCAACAAGAAAAGAAAACTTCAGGCCAATATCCATGATGAACATAGATGCAAAAATCTTCAATAAAATATTGGCAAGCCAATTGCAACAGCAAATCAAAAAACTTATCCATCATGATCAAGTAGGATTCATCCCGGGGATGGAAGGCTGGTTCAACATAGGCAAGTCTATCAACGTAATTCACCACATAAACAGAACCAAAAACAAAAACCACTTGATTATCTCAATTGACGCAGAGAAGGCATTCGACAAAATTCAACAGCCCTTTATGCTAAAAACCCTCAATAAACTCAGTATCGATGGAACATATCTCAAAGTAATAAAAGCTATTTACGACAAACCAACAGCCAATATTATACTGAATGGGCAAAAACTGGAAGCATTCCCTTTGAAATCTGGCACTAGACAAGGATGCCCTCTTTCACCACTCCTATTCAATATAGTTCTGGAAGTTCTAGCCAGATCAATCAGGCAAGTAAAAGAAATAAAGGGTTTTAAAATAGGAAAAATGGAAGCCAAATTGTCTCTATTTGCAGACGACACGATAGTATACCTAGAAGACCCCATCGCCTCAGCCCAAAAACTCCTGAAACTGATAAGCAGCTTCAGCAAAGTCTCAGGATATAAAATCAATGTGCAAAAATCACAAGCATTCCTCTACACCAATAACGGACTTAAAGAAAGCCAAATCAAGAACGAACTGCCATTCACATTTGCTACAAAAAGAATAAAATACCTAGGAATACAACTCACAAGGAACGTAAGGGACCTCTTCAAGGAAAACTACAAACCACTGATCAACGAAATCAGAGAGGACACAAACAGATGGAGAAACATTCCATGTTCATGGTTAGGAAGAATTAATATTGTGAAAATGGCTAAACTACCCAAAGTAATTTACAGAATCAACACTATCCCCATCAAGCTACCATCGACTTTCTTCACAGAACTGGAAAAAAGGACCATGAACTTCATATGGAACCAAAAGAGAGCCTGCATAGCCCAGTCAATTCTAAGCAAAAAGAACACAGCAGGGGGCATCACACTACCGGATTTCAAACTATACTACAAGGCTACAGTAATCAAAACAGCATGGTACTGGTACCAAAACAGAGATATAGACCAATGGAACAAAACAGAGGCATCGGAGGCAACACAACATATCTACAA